CTGCTCAGGCGTCCCCGACTCCCCGCTCTGCTCAGGCGTCCCCGACTCCCCGCTCTGCTCAGGCGTCCCCGACTCCCCGCTCTGCTCAGGCGTCCCCGACTCCCCGCTCTGCTCAGGCGTCCCCGACTCCCCGCTCTGCTCAGGCGTCCCCGACTCCCCGCTCTGCTCAGGCGTCCCCGACTCCCCGCTCTGCTCAGGCGTCCCCGACTCCCCGCTCTGCTCAGGCGTCCCCGACTCCCCGCTCTGCTCAGGCGTCCCCGACTCCCCGCTCTGCTCAGGCGTCCCCGACTCCCCGCTCTGCTCAGGCGTCCCCGACTCCCCGCTCTGCTCAGGCGTCCCCGACTCCCCGCTCTGCTCAGGCGTCCCCGACTCCCCGCTCTGCTCAGGCGTCCCCGACTCCCCGCTCTGCTCAGGCGTCCCCGACTCCCCGCTCTGCTCAGGCGTCCCCGACTCCCCGCTCTGCTCAGGCGTCCCCGACTCCCCGCTCTGCTCAGGCGTCCCCGACTCCCCGCTCTGCTCAGGCGTCCCCGACTCCCCGCTCTGCTCAGGCGTCCCCGACTCCCCGCTCTGCTCAGGCGTCCCCGACTCCCCGCTCTGCTCAGGCGTCCCCGACTCCCCGCTCTGCTCAGGCGTCCCCGACTCCCCGCTCTGCTCAGGCGTCCCCGACTCCCCCGCTCTGCTCAGGCGTCCCCGACTCCCCGCTCTGCTCAGGCGGCCCCGACACCCCGCTCTGCTCAGGCGTCCCCGACTCCCCGCTCTGCTCAGGCGTCCCCGACTCCCCGCTCTGCTCAGGCGTCCCCGACTCCCCGCTCTGCTCAGGCGTCCCCGACTCCCCGCTCTGCTCAGGCGTCCCCGACTCCCCGCTCTGCTCAGGCGTCCCCGACTCCCCGCTCTGCTCAGGCGTCCCCGACTCCCCGCTCTGCTCAGGCGTCCCCGACTCCCCGCTCTGCTCAGGCGTCCCCGACTCCCCGCTCTGCTCCGATGCCACTGCCACCGAGCTCTGTGCTGCATTTGGTTGTACCTTGGTGTCATGTACAGTTTGTTTGAAGACATTAGAAATTGCTATGTAGGCATTTATTAGTGATTCTCTGTTTTTGGCCAGACTGTGCAGGGTGGGGGGCCAGACTGTGCAGGGTGGGGGGCCAGACTGTGCAGGGTGGGGGGCCAGATTGTGCAGGGTGGGGGGCCAGACTGTGCAGGGTGGGGGGCCAGACTGTGCAGGGTGGGGGCGGCAGACTGTGCAGGGTGAGGGCGGCAGACTGTGCAGGGTGGGGGCGGCAGACTGTGCAGGGTGGGGGCGGCAGACTGTGCAGGGTGGGGGCGGCAGACTGTGCAGGGTGGGGGCGGCAGACTGTGCAGGGTGGGGGCGGCAGACTGTGCAGGGTGGGGGCGGCAGACTGTGCAGGGTGGGGGCGGCAGACTGTGCAGGGTGGGGGCGGCAGACTGTGCAGGGTGGGGGCGGCAGACTGTGCAGGGTGGGGGCGGCAGACTGTGCAGGGTGGGGGCGGCAGACTGTGCAGGGTGGGGGCGGCAGACTGTGCAGGGTGGGGGCGGCAGACTGTGCAGGGTGGGGGCGGCAGACTGTGCAGGGTGGGGGCGGCAGACTGTGCAGGGTGGGGGCGGCAGACTGTGCAGGGTGGGGGCGGCAGACTGTGCAGGGTGGGGGCGGCAGACTGTGCAGGGTGGGGGCGGCAGACTGTGCAGGGTGGGGGCGGCAGACTGTGCAGGGTGGGGGCGGCAGACTGTGCAGGGTGGGGGCGGCAGACTGTGCAGGGTGGGGGCGGCAGACTGTGCAGGGTGGGGGCGGCAGACTGTGCAGGGTGGGGGCGGCAGACTGTGCAGGGTGGGGGCGGCAGACTGTGCAGGGTGGGGGCGGCAGACTGTGCAGGGTGGGGGCGGCAGACTGTGCAGGGTGGGGGGGACAGACTGTGCAAGGTGGGGGGACAGACTGTGCAAGGTGGGGGGACAGACTGTGCAAGGTGGGGGGCAGACTGTGCAAGGTGGGGGGGGGCAGACTGTGCAAGGTGGGGGGGGCAGACTGTGCAAGGTGGGGGGGGCAGACTGTGCAAGGTGGGGGGGGGCAGACTGTGCAAGGTGGGGGGCAGACTGTGCAAGGTGGGGGGGACAGACTGTGCAAGGTGGAGGGGACAGACTGTGCAAGGTGGGGGGGACAGACTGTGCAAGGTGGGGGGGACAGACTGTGCAAGGTGGGGGACAGACTGTGCAAGGTGGGGTGGGGGACAGACTGTGCAAGGTGGGGTGGGGGGCAGACTGTGCAAGGTGGGGTGGGGGGCAGACTGTGCAAGGTGGGGAGGGGGGCAGACTGTGCAAGGTGGGAGGGGCAGACTGTGCAAGGTGGGAGGGGCAGACTGTGCAAGGTGGCATCAGACTGTGCAAGGTGGCATCAGACTGTGCAAGGTGGAGGCAGACTGTGCAAGGTGGAGGCAGACTGTGCAAGGTGGAGGCAGACTGTGCAAGGTGGAGGCAGACTGTGCAAGGTGGAGGCAGACTGTGCAATGTGGGCAGACTGTGCAAGGTGGAGGCAGACTGTGCAAGGTGGAGGCAGACTGTGCAAGGTGGGCAGACTGTGCAAGGTGGAGGCAGACTGTGCAAGGTGGAGGCAGACTGTGCAAGGTGAGGCAGACCGTGCAAGGTGGCATCAGACTGTGCAAGGTGGGGACAGACTGTGCAAGGTGGGCAGACTGTGCAAGGTGGAGGCAGACTGTGCAAGATGGAGGCAGACTGTGCAAGATGGAGGCAGACTGTGCAAGGTGGAGGCAGACTGTGCAAGGTGGGCAGACTGTGCAAGGTGGGCAGACTGTGCAAGGTGGGGGCAGACTGTGCAAGGTGGATGCAGACTGTGCAAGGTGGGCAGACTGTGCAAGGTGAGGGCAGGCTGTGCAAGGTGGGGGCAGATTATGTAAGGTGGGGGCAGACTGTGCAAGGGGGGGAGCAGACTGTGCAAGGTGAGGCAGACCGTGCAAGGTGGCATCAAACTGTGCAAGGTGGGGACAGACTGTGCAAGGTGGAGGCAGACTGTGCAAGGTGGAGGCAGACTGTGCAAGATGGAGGCAGACTGTGCAAGCTCTTGATAAAAAGGAGTTCCCTGTTGGGTTATTTGTGGACCTGCGTAAAGCTTTTGATACTGTCAACCACCATAACCTTCTTCTTAAATTACATCATTATGGAGTCAGAGGACACTCCCTACAATACCTCGAGTCCTACCTTACTGACAGGCTCCAATATGTTTCTGTGAATAATACAATTTCTCCCACCCTACCCATCAACATTGGTGTTCCTCAGGGCAGCATACTTGGCCCTCTCCTCTTTCTCATCTACATTAATGACCTTCCAAATGCCTCCCAACACCTCAAACCAATTCTATTTGCTGACGACACAACCTTCATTTACTCCAGTCCTGACCCTCTTGCTCTAAATGCCACAGTAAATACTGAGCTAAATAAAGTCCATCTTTGGCTAACTGCCAACAAACTCACCCTTAACATTGACAAAACCTTCTATATTCTGTTTGGCAATAAATCCTCTAGTCTTATAAATCTCAAAATAAACAATACCCAAATTTGTAACAAATTAGATGGCAAATTCCTTGGCATTCTCATTGACCACAAGCTGAATTTCCAGGGACACATTCTAAATATATCAAAAAAAGTTTCAAAAACTGTGGGCATTCTTTCTAAGATCAGATATTATGTACCACGCCCTGCCCTGGTGACTCTCTATTACTCCCTTATCTATCCTTATCTCAACTATGGTATTTGTGCTTGGGGTTCTACTACCCAAAATCACTTACGTCCTCTAATTACCCAACACAAAGCCGCTATTAGAACAATATCCAACTCTGGCCCCAGACATCACTCGGTACCCCTACTCAAATCTCTTAATATGTTAGATATTAAGTCACTGCACATTCTCTCATGTGTATTATACATATATAAAACGCTAAACTATAATGCCAATCCTGATCTTAAAAGCTTCATAGAAGGTTGTAACAGAACCCATGAGCACCACACCAGAAATAAATACAGTTTTGATATTCCTAGAGTACGTCTTAATCAAACTAGAAATGCTCTGCAAATCAAGGGGCCCAGAATGTGGAATGACCTTCCCAACCATGTTAAAGACTGTACCTCTCTCAACCAGTTTAAGATAAAAACTAAACACTACCTAATAAATTCCCTGTAATCTACCTCACTCCTCTATTGTCAACCCATGTCTGTTATTTTTTTTTTTTTTTTTTAATCAACACTGTTTGTCAACCTATTGTATTTGTGCTGCTTTTTCAGTCATGTTCCCCCTTTTTTTATCTTTATTTGTATTTGTTCTCAACACCTTTTATTCTTTATGCTCAATTAGTATTAAGTTCTAGATATTAATGTTTTTCTTGCCCGAAACGCATTGCGTAATAGTGGCTTTAGGCATTGTATGTACTATCTCTATCTATATATCAATCCATTAATGTAACATCACTTGTACAGTATGTATATACCTTACCTGAAAAACATCTAAACATCAGATGGAGGCAGACTGTGCAAGGTGGGGGCAGACTGTGCAAGGTGGGCAGACTGTGCAAGGTGGGGGCAGACTGTGCAAGGTGGGGGCAGACTGTGCAAGGGGGGGCAGACTGTGCAAGGTGGGGACAGACTGTGCAAGGGGGGGCAGACTGTGCAAGGGGGGGCAGACTGTGCAAGGTGGGTCAGACTGTGCAAGGGGGGGCAGACTGTGCAAGGGGGGGCAGACTGTGCAAGGTGGGGACAGACTGTGCAAGGTGGGCAGACTGTGCAAGGTGGGGTGGGGGGCAGACTGTGCAAGGTGAGGCAGACCGTGCAAGGTGGCATCAGACTGTGCAAGGTGGGCAGACTGTGCAAGGTGGAGGCAGACTGTGCAAGGTGGGGCTGACCGTGCAAGGTGGACAGACTGTGCGGCACCGTCTTGTCAGTCACCTCCGGAGGGTAAAGGAGGTCCATGACAAAAGTTGTTACCTTGTGGTGTGTGAAGAACGCCGATAACGGCGTGTACGTTATGATGACCTGGACTCGAGACAAATCACACCCAGACAATATATTCTTTATAGAAGACGTAGTTTAGTGGAAGGTGTTCCCCTGGCGACGACTGCAGGAGTGTTGAGAGAGAGGTCTGGGCCCGGTCGTGATGGCTGTGGTTGTTGTTGTGGTGAAGCTCTCGGACCGTCGCTTCTCTTCCGTGTCTCGCAACCTTCACGTTTTCTATGGTTGCTTGTCCTGGCACTCCTAATGGTTAACTTATTTATTTATTTATTTACTTATTTATTTATTTATTTACTTGTTTATTTATTTATTTATTTATTTATTTATTTATTTATTTATTTATTTATTTATTTATTTATTTATTTATTTATTTATTTATTTATTTATTTATTTATTTATTTTTTTATTTTTTTACAAAAAGATACATTGGGTTTGAGAGAATACATAGCATAGTATTTACAATCTTGTAAAGCCACTAGTACGCGCAGGGTTTCGGGCAGGTCCTTAATCTAACAGATAATTTTTAGTAGGTAAATTCTAGCAGAATTCAGATGTTTTCAGGTAAGGTATATACATACAAGTGATGTTACATTAATGGATTGATATATAGATAGAGCTAGTACATACAATGCCTAAAGCCACTATTACGCAATGCGTTTCGGGCAAGAAAAACATTAATATCTAGAACTTAATACTAATTGAGCATAAAGAATAAAAGATGTTGAGAACAAATACAAATAAAGATAAAAAAAGGGGGAACATGACTGAAAAAGCAGCACAAATACAATAGGTTGACAAACAGTGTTGAATAAAAAAAAAGAAAAAAAAAGAAAATAACAGACATGGGTTGACAATAGAGGAGTGAGGTAGATTACAGGGAATTTATTAGGTAGTGTTTAGTTTTTATCTTAAACTGGTTGAGAGAGGTACAGTCTTTAACATGGTTGGGAAGGTCATTCCACATTCTGGGCCCCTTGATTTGCAGAGCATTTCTAGTTTGATTAAGACGTACTCTAGGAATATCAAAACTGTATTTATTTCTGGTGTGGTGCTCATGGGTTCTGTTACAACCTTCTATGAAGCTTTTAAGATCAGGATTGGCATTATAGTTTAGCGTTTTATATATGTATAATACACATGAGAGAATGTGCAGTGACTTAATATCTAACATATTAAGAGATTTGAGTAGGGGTACCGAGTGATGTCTGGGGCCAGAGTTGGATATTGTTCTAATAGCGGCTTTATGTTGGGTAATTAGAGGACGTAAGTGATTTTGGGTAGTAGAACCCCAAGCACAAATACCATAGTTGAGATAAGGATAGATAAGGGAGTAATAGAGAGTCACCAGAGCAGGGCGTGGTACATAATATCTGATCTTAGAAAGAATGCCCACAGTTTTTGAAACTTTTTTTGATATATTTAGAATGTGTCCCTGGAAATTCAGCTTGTGGTCAACGAGAATGCCAAGGAATTTGCCCTCTAATTTGTTACAAATTTGGGTATTGTTTATTTTGAGATTTATAAGACTAGAGGATTTATTGCCAAACAGAATATAGAAGGTTTTGTCAATGTTAAGGGTGAGTTTGTTGGCAGTTAGCCAAAGATGGACTTTATTTAGCTCAGTATTTACTGTGGCATTTAGAGCAAGAGGGTCAGGACTGGAGTAAATGAAGGTTGTGTCGTCAGCAAATAGAATTGGTTTGAGGTGTTGGGAGGCATTTGGAAGGTCATTAATGTAGATGAGAAAGAGGAGAGGGCCAAGTATGCTGCCCTGAGGAACACCAATGTTGATGGGTAGGGTGGGAGAAATTGTATTATTCACAGAAACATATTGGAGCCTGTCAGTAAGGTAGGACTCGAGGTATTGTAGGGAGTGTCCTCTGACTCCATAATGATGTAATTTAAGAAGAAGGTTTTGGTGGTTGACAGTATCAAAAGCTTTACGCAGGTCCACAAATAACCCAACAGGGAGCTCCTTTTTATCAAGAGCTGTATGAATCCAGTTAAGCATACTAATAAGTGCATTGTTAGTGCTTTTTTTGGGTCTGAAGCCATATTGGCAAGGGCTAAGTATATTGAGTTTGGCTAGATATGAGTAAAGCTGCTTGTATATAAGTTTTTCAAAAATTTTTGACAAGTTTGGCAGGATTGATATAGGTCTGTAGTTGTTAACATCTGTGGGGTCACCACATTTGTGGACAGGCGTTACTCTCGCTTTTTTTAGAATATCTGGAAAGGTTTGGAGTTCAAGTGACTTGTTGAAGAGCAAAGCAATAGCAGGGGCTAAAGATCTGGAGGCTTTTTTGTAAATTAAAGTTGGTATCTCCTCAAGGGCACCAGACTTGGTTTTAAGGGAAAGGATTATCTCATTGACGTCAGTGGAGTTAATAGGCTTTAGGTACAGAGACTGTGGATAGTTACCTGTAAGATAGTCCTTAATGTCAGTACTGGAAGATGGAATATCATTTGCAAGGGATGAACCAATGGAAGAGAAGAACCTATTGAACTCAATAGCAGAATCAGAGGCTGAAAGCTGACCATCGTTATTAGACAGGAGAGTCGGTTTGTTATTTAAAGATTTCTTTGATCCCAATATTTGTGAAATTGTGCTCCAAGTTTGTTTAATGTTGCTCTTTATTTGAGTAAATTTATCTTCGTAGTAATTAGTTTTGGCTCGTCTAATTATCTTAGTTAGCAATAATGAGTAATTCTTTGAGAATTCTTTGGAGACAATTCCTAACCTATACTTCTTCTCAAGGTCGTGTTTTTTGTTAATGGATTTCAGTATTCCCTTTGTAAGCCAAGGATTGTTAAGCCTTTTGCTTGTGACTTGTTTTGTAAGCCTAGGACAGTGGGTGTTATAAAGGCTAAGATGTTGTTTGTAGAAAAGATTGCACTGCTAGGTTGATGTCCCCTATGTTACCTAATTCGGACTCCCAGTTGACATTATCAGCAGCAGTTATAAAATTGTTTATAGCAGTTTCATTGTGCAGCCTAAAGCTTAACTCCCTTGTTTCTAGAGGTGGTTTGCTAATGTTAGTTAAGAGAAATGTGGGGTAGTGGTCTGTAGTGCTATCGGTGATTATACCTGAAGTAAGCGGAGAGGTTATGTTGGTCCAGATGTGATCTAGAGTCGTGGCAGTGCTATCAGTGATTCTAGTAGGTCTAGTGATTAAGGGTATGAGGAGGCAGGAATTCATACAGTTGAGGAAGCTAACAGCAGTAGGGTGTTCTGGCTCGCAGAGGTCAATATTAAAGTCCCCTGCGATAATTAGGTGGTTTTTGTTCAGTCTGTTATCAAGTATTAGATTTAATAAAATGATAACAGATACACTGCAAAAAATGAGATGAGAGAGATTAGTAAGTATAGTAAAGCACATTGGTATATTAAAGCTCTGATTGATTACATTGACACTTGATTGGTAATATAAACAAGATTAATATACACCATACAGCAGATTGATAGCACATATAAGAAGACAGCAATGATCACAATGGTAAAGATGCTTAGATTGAGTACATAAGGATTGGGAGATTGGTTAGCAATAGATACAGTGTAATTTTAAAGCAAAGGGTAAAAAACTATGAAGATTAAATTATAGGTACTTTTTAGTTTTGTTTTTGAATGACGCAAAAGTTGGACAGCTTTTCAATTCATTAGGGAGTGTGTTCCATAGGCTAGGTCACTTTATTTGCAAAGAGTGTTTACACAGATTAAGTGTGACTCTTAGGATATCAAAGAGATATTTATTTGCTGCAGTTAAGTTTAAGATGAAAACTAAGTACTACCTAATTAACTCCATGTAGCCTACCTTACTTCTAAATGTCAACCCATGTCTTACTATTTAAAAAAAAATGCTGTTTGTTGACCAACTTGTATATTGGCTATTTTCTACCATGTTCCCCCTTTTTTTATCTGTTATTTTATTTTTTCATTCAACACAATTTATACTTTAAGCTCAATTACTATTAAGTTTTAGTCTAAGTGTTTTTCCCCACCTCACCTTGCCCGAAACGCTATGCGTACTAGTGGCTTTAGGTATTGTGTGTACTACCTCTGTCTTTAAATCTAACATAATGTTTGTACTGTAAATCTGCAACTATGAATGTACTGTTCCTAAATAAATTATTATTATTAAATTATTAATATTAAATTATTATTAAATTATTATTATTATTATTATTATTATTATTATTATTATTATTATTATTATTATTATTATTATTATTATTATTATTATTATTATTATTATTATTATTTCTGGTGTGGTGATACTGGGTCTTATTACATCTATCCAGGGAGAGTTTCAGACAAGGATTTGCATTTAAGAACAGGGTTTTGTAAATGTAGTTGACACAAGAGAATTTGTGGAGTGAGATTATGTTTAGCATGTTTAGGGAGTTAAACAAGGGGCTGAGTGTTGTCTGAAAGCAGAATTTGTTATTATTCTGATAGCAGATTTTTGCTGGGTGATGATGGACTTGAGGTGGTTTGCAGTGGTTGAACCCCATGCACAGATACCATAATTAAGATAGGGATAGATTAGTGCATAATATAGAGAGATGAGAGTAGAGTTAGGTGCCCCCCACCTCAGTCAAAGTTTTATGCCCCCCACGCTTCAGTTCTGCCCAGGCCGTGCCCATTTCAGCTTATGCCCAGGTTGGGGACACTTCAGCTTTAATGCCCCAGGTTAGGGCCACTCCTGTTGTTTATGCCCCAGGACGTGGCCACTGCCATTGATGCCCAGCAGGCTTGGGCCTTTTCAATTTATTATGCCCCAGGCTGAGGCCCCCCTTCAGTTCGATGCCTTGGCTGGGTCACTTCAGTTTCTAATGCCCCAGGACGGGGCCACTTCAGTTTCTAATGCCCCAGGACGGGGCCACTTCAGTTTCTTATGCCCCAGGACGGGGCCACTTCGGTTTCTTAGGCACCAGGGCGGGGCCACTTCGGTTTCTTAGGCACCAGGGCGGGGCCACTTCAGTTTATCATGACCCAGGGCGGGGCCACTCCCATTTTATGCCCACGCTTCAGTTCTGCCACTGGCCGGGGCCACTTCAGCTTCCTGTGGCCCAGGTTGGGGCCACTTCAGCCCTATGCCCAGGATGGGGCCACTTCAGTTTCTTATGCCCCAGGACGGGGCCACTTCAGTTTCTTATGCCCCCAGGACGGGGCCACTTCAGTTTCTTATGCC